ATTTGTAACCATCATCACGACTCCTGGAGAGCGCTATTCTTGAAGCCCACAGGGACATCCCAAGTACGTGTCGCTTATACACTGTAATAGCCCTATGCAGTCAGTTCGTCTCAGACAGAAAACAAGACAAAAGTACTTTAAGGGTTCGGTCGTGACCTTCTCAGCATCTAGCTAGCTTAAAGGGTCGGTATGCGTAACGAAGCAGCTTTCCAATGGATTGACCTGGAACAGAAAATTGACAGGAGTACTTTAAGGGAGAGGTTAGTTTTTACCTCGATATCTGGCAAGCATAGTGTCGGAGAAAAGAACACGACACTTCATGGGGCTGGCTTTACCGTTGGGGATTACGTGCTCTTTAAGCGTGGCCAAGCCGAACTGACGACCCGCGGGTTGTTTCGTTAAGATTATCATTCGCGCCCACTTCCAAGCTTGCATGCCATGACGAACACGGTAATATGTTTGTATTGATATTGGAAGCCCCAACTAAGTGAGTGAGTGAGTGAGTGAGTGAGTGAGTGGTATGGTTTTACGCCATAGACAGTACTGTCAAATCATCTGTGAATCAACTTTCACATATTACCAGGAATCTAGGTCTCAGTAACTTTACCTAGAATACTCTTTGACATTTTCACATCTTTACAATTGCAAGCGTGATGAATAGAACATTATCATTCTTCTTTTAGGGTTATTTAAAACCCCGGATACATATGTCATGAGGAGGTCGGACTGACATTTGAGCTCGATGCACTTGTCCTGTGTGAATGGCGATGGGATTCAACAAAGGTCACAATGGCCTTCTTGTGTTACACAAAATAACATCATATTTTTTACTCTTTATAATGAAATCATTCTATTTTGGATAAAGGATGCAAGTTTCGCATGACTTTCGTAAGGCTGAGTAGACACAAATCACGTTCTAGTCACGTGTTATGACTGAACGAAATAGGAGCTATTGTGCAATAAATGACTTTAATATTGTGCAATACAAAATCCCGTCCCCGGCTGTCCTCACCATCAACTTGTGCTTGTCGTAAGAGGTCGGTGGTTAGGTTTTGCTGACTGTGTGACCTGGCGGTCTGCCCTGACGGTGTGCCCTGACGGTGTGCCCTGACTTTGTGACCTGACGGTCTGCCATGACGCTCTTCTCTGACGGTCTGCCCTGATGGTGTGTCCTGACGGTCTCCCCTAACTGCCTACCCTGACGTTGTGCCCTGATTGACTGTCCTGACGGTCTCCCCTAACTGCCTGCCCTGACGTTGTGCCCTGATTGACTGTCCTGACGGTCTCCCCTAACTGCCTGCCCTGACGTTGTGCCCTGATTGACTGTCCTGACGGTCTCCCCTAACTGCCTGCCCTGACGTTGTGCCCTGATTGACTGTCCTGACTGTCTCCCCTGACGTTGTGCCGTGACTGTGTGACCTGATGGTGTGCCCTGACGTTGTGTCCTGACTGTTTGACCTGACGTTCTGTCCTGACTGTGTGACCTGACGGTGTGTCCTGACTTTGTGACCTGCCGATCGTCCTGACTGTGTGTCCCGACGGTCTGTCCTGACTGTGTGACCTGACGGTCTGTCCTGACTGTGTGACCTGACGGTCTGCCATGACTGTGTGACCTGACGGTCTGTCATGACTGTGTGACCTGACGGTCTGTCCTGACTTTGTGACCTGACGGTCTGTCCTGACTGTGTGACCTGACGGTCTGTCCTGACTTTGTGACCTGACGGTCTGTCCTGACTTTGTGACCTGACGGTCTGTCCTGACTGTGTGACCTGACGGTGTGTCCTGACTGTGTGACCTGACGGTCTGTCCTGACTGTGTGACCTGACGGTATGTCCTGACTGTGTGACCTGACGGTGTGTCCTGACTGTGTGACCTGACGGTCTGTCCTGACGGTCTGTCCTGACTGTGTGTGATCTGACGGTCTGTCCTGACTGTGTGACCTGACGGTCTGTCCTGACTGTGTGCCCTGATGGTGGGCCCTGACGTTCTGTCCTGACGGTCTGTCCTGACTGTGTGACCTGACGGTCTGTTCTGACTTTGTGACCTGATGGTCTGTCCTGACTGTGCCCTGACTGTGTGACCTGACGGTGTGTCCTGACTTTGTGACCTGATGGTCTGCCCTACTGTGTGACCTGACGGTCTGTCATGACTTTGTGGGAAGTTGCGCAAAACATCAATCACTGATTTGTCAGGTCCTGATTCGACTATTTACAGGTCCCTGAATGCGACAACAAACAAACGTTAAGGTTTATGACGATTTCGATGTGGAATTTTGTGAAACATCAGACTTTTGTCCTCTCCTCAACGACTTCCATTATATACATGCCATGAAAATCTTCACAGTGTGGTGTTGAGATAGCCCGGTGATGACATCCATGTTCACATGATCCGGTGTTCACATCCGTGTTCACATAGCCCGGTATTCACATACGTGTTCCAATAACCGGGTGTTCACATACGTGTTCAGATAGCCCGGTGTTCATATCCGTGTTCACATAACCCTGTGTTCACATCCGCGTTCATATAGCCCGGTGTTCACATCCGTGTTCACATAGCCCGGTATTCACATACGTGTTCACATAACCGGGTGTTCACATACATGTTTAGATAGCCCGGTGTTCACATTACGTGTTTACATAGCCCGGTGTTCACATAGTCTAGTATTCACGCAGCAAGATGTTCACTGTGAAACTGTGCCCGTCGCAAGCAGCGAATGGCTGACATTGACAGTAATGTTCTAAAATAGTACCACAATACAAAATTGCTTAAGCAAAAGGGTTATAATGAACGCTAGCGGGGTCATCCTACAACACAAACCTGTCCCTAACTCACACAATACACCTAACAATATGTCTGGATACGTTATGAGGATAAAGATCTGTCTGAATGTTGCAAAGAATTTAACACCTGGGGTTCCAGATGAGCTCTGAAGTGTGCATGTCAAGGTGCATTGTGGTCGGTATATGTGTTAGTAGGACGACGCGAACTCAAGTGCATGTATGTTAGCGTCATTCACGGTAATGTATTCATCAGACTGACGCCTTATAATTACACGGTAAAAATACCATTCGCTTTTAATATACGTCAGAAGTCTAGATAACAGGCGAGTTCAAGAACAATGCAATGTGGGACGTTGTGTATAGGTATTGAGGCACGGTATTGCAATCCAGTGGGTTGGAAGTGGGTTTTGTATATGGGGAGGTAGGTCCTAACTCCTTTCAGACAAAATATCTTGTTACAATACTTGCTGAAATTACCGTAAACGTGACTTTGTTAAACATTTCATAAAACTTCGATTCACGAGCCTGTGAGTATTGGTTAATGCTGATGTGGAAATTATTTCACTTCTATCAGCAGAACCTGGTGTTCACACAAATGTCGACAGTACCCAGTGTTTACATAAGTGTTTACGCGGCATAGTGTTCACAATAAGTCGCTCTGTCGACATTTAGAATATATATATATGTGTTTGTGTGTGTTTTATAAATTGTATACAAGTAACAAGCAGCTGAGACTGGAAAAAGAACAAATGTTTATCCAATTGATGAAACCAAAATTGAACTCTAGAATGTATTAATAGATTTGTCATTTCAATCGTAAATGTTGCACTGTTACTTTACAAATACTGTATATTTAATTCAAATGTCTCCCTACAATTGTTAAATTACTTGGTGTCGTCGCTGGAGTGTGTAAATACATTATGACGTCACAGTTGTAATTTATGACGTCATTATAAGTATGACGTCAGTATATGTCATTGTCAGTTACACTGAAGAGCTGTCATGAGACAGCGAAAGTACTATGTATGAAACAGATATAAAGAAGATGATGGACTTATGTGGACTTTATTATTTTATTATATATTACATGTACACCGAGTGAACATTTACCTCATTTTTGTATATATATATACACTCTTCGAAAGAAGAAACGCACAGGTAGTATGTAGTACATTGAACCTGTCTACAAAAAAAATTCCTACTGGAATTTCATGAACAGAAAAACAACCAGCCCTCACATACCAGTATTTACACAGATGGTCAAAAGATGATGAGAAGGTATCAACTGCAGCTGTTACTAACAGCTGTCCTATGTCAATACAACTAACTGATGGAAGCTCGATTTTTACGACATATGCTCAGGCTATACTATTAGCTTTGCAACATATTGAAAAGTCTACAAAAAACAGTTTTATCATATTTTCTGATAGTATGTCCTGTCTGCAGGCAATCAAAAACCGAAAAGTGGATCATCCATTTTTAGCTGAATTTTTTAGGTGTCATCTCAGTTTATCCGTAGTTGAAAAAAGATATAATTTTTTATTGGCTGCTCAGTCATGTTGTCATCAATGGTAACTGTAAAGCAGATTCTTTGGCAAAAGCCGCTCTTAATAAACCAACTTCAAACACAAACCTCCCATATTCTGATCTAAAACCATCCATCAGACAATATGTGAATGATCACTGGCAAAAAACTTGGAATACCAAGACTGAACAAACTTCATGCTATCGAACCACTGATTGGAGGTCACGCACATTCTGGTTTATATCGTCATAATGAAGTTGTTTTACTGCGGTAAAGCATTGGCCATAGTTATTATACACATTCATTTTTATTGAAGGGTGAAGATCCACCTTTTTGTATCCCCTGCAATAGTCCAGTTACTACCAAGCACATTTTGCTTGGTTGTGTTGTTTTTGCGTTCATCAGACAACGCTTTTATGATAATGTTCATACCTTATCTGAACTTTTTAACACAGTTTCTAATCACTTGATTTTAGCATATTTTAAAGAAATCAAACTGTATGATAAAATAAAGATTCTTATCTGAACAATCAGTTTTTACCCTTGAATGTAATACTGACTGAGGTTTTAGTGATTTTCAGCATCACTTTTATTTGCTTCAATATGGTCAGATTAGACATATTTTCGCCGCGAATAGCTGCAAGATTGCTGATGCGGCGTTAAGCAAAAATTACTCACTTACTACTCTGTTCCAGGAAAATTTCGTCCGGACAAACTTAACCTTTTGTTCCAAGAACTGCATCAGAAATATGGGAAGATCGTCAAATTCCGGAAGGGTTCGTCATGGGCCGTGTTTCTGTTTGACCCCTCTCTTATCGAGGTCGCCATGCGTCATGAAGGACGTTACCCCAAACGGCCCAGCATGCCATTACTGGACACGTACTGCAAGAGGTCAGGAGCACCGCCGGGAATCAGTCAGCTGTAAGTGTTGGCGTCCGTTGTTGGCGTTTATAATGTTTTACATTTTCGACGTGACTCAAAAAAAACAAAAACACTTTGGATTCCGGATCTGGATAAGTTGAAGACGTTATTCCTCGCTACATTTTAAGTCCTTGTGTCCAAAAAATATCACCTTCACGATAAGGTCAGAGTGTGCATGGAATTTATTTATTTATTTATTTATTTATTTATTTATTTATTAAAATTTAATTATTTTTTTTTTGGGGGGGGGGGGGTTGGAGGGGCGCATCCGAAAGGGCTTCCTCCCACATCGTAATCAAAACATTCCACAACAGAAGTTATGGATCCCATCCAACCGTGCAAGAACGTAATTCAACTGGTGGCAGTGTTTGTTTGTTTTATTTCATTTAGTTTTACCTACGGTAGTGAAGCTTGGAGATGTGGTGATTGCAGAACCAGCTCAATAGCCTAGAACGTTTATTCTCCATTATCTAGAGTATGATATCCGGTTGGTTGTGAGATTCGAATGATGCGAGACTTAAATAGCCATCCAATCAAATTACACGATATTGGCTACAGGCTCTCGGTAAAGGGGAAGTATCACAAATTCTCGACTCGTGTTGTTATGTACCGTCACAAATACAACATAGAACCCGTGAAGATCCGGGGCAGAATAGGTCTTCAGCAACCTATACTTGCCGTAGAAGGCCACTGTGCTTGTCGTAGGAAGCGACGGGAGCTGACTCGCTGACTTGGTTGATGCACGTCATCGTTCCAATTGCGTAGATCGGTGCTGGATTGTCTCGTCCAGACTCGATTATTTACAGACCGCCGAATATTGCTGAGTGCGGAGTTAAACAACAACAAAATAAACAAATACAACTGGGAACTCCTGGTAACATAATGACCCACCTCCCCTTTCTATTAATACTTAAGAAAACATTTTTCCAGCCAGAAGTTTATTCTGATTCGAAGTGTAATCCTTTATTTGAAATAAATCGAAGACTCGCCCGAAAGAGGCCGATATTTTGAATATAGATCTATGTCGAACTATCGCCAAGAAAATTCCATTAAAATGTTTTTAGCACAAGCTCACCAGTGACAGAAATTCTGTGCTAGCTCAGAGATACGGGGATGGAGATCGTGACGTCACTTCCGCAGCGAAGCTTTAGTGGCGTATGGGTCTAGGGTATATATGTCATAATGTAATCGAGATTCAATCATAATCATACGCTGGGTGATAATCATAGCGAGTGAAGTGGAGTGAAGTTAAGGTCTTGTAGCCTGAAGATTAACCCAGATATCGGCACGTACGAAACTAAAGTGTACAATCAGTAAATGAGTGAGTGAGTTGTGTTTAACGCCGCCTTTAACAATATTCCAGTTTTATCACGGCGTGTCAGCTTAATGTGGGAGGAAAGCCCGAAGTGATGCAGGTCTCGGACGTTTACCACTTCGGTGAAACCCACGAGCACGGGTATGGTGCTGACAAACCTAGAAACATAATCGGGACGATCGGTATTCGAACCCACTATCATAGGTTTCTGGAGTGTCCAAGGGACGCAACTCTGCACAGCGAATCGCGGCGCCTTAGACGACTGGGCCACCCGGGCCCCGAAATCAGTAAATGACCACACATGATTAATGTATAACCAGCATATCATTTTAAAACATTCGGTTTTGGTTTTACAGTCACAACAGTCACTAAAAAGGGTCAGGTAAGTGAATTTAGAATGTGTTAGTTTTACCACCTGTCACAGTATGTTTATTTATTTCAGTACCGGCAAGGAATGGTACGACGTACGGAAGCCCGTCCAGGACCGGACGATGAAGCCTCACGTTGTTGCTCAATATCTACCTTCTCAGAGAGATGTTGCAGACGATATGGTCTCCACCATCAAATCTCAGCAACTTCACGTTGACGACCTGAGCAAACTCCTTTTCAGATACACTGCAGAATGTAAGTTTGTTTGTGGGCATAGTCTTGAGATACCAGTGATTGATATTATGAGCAACCATGTCGGAGGTTACAGTGACATGCAATCAACTTGCTTAGCCTCCAGATCGATTAAGTCGACCCTAAAGACAAGCATAGATTGTTCAGTTCTAACCAGTATCGGTTCGCCCCGATTCTGTTTCTAGGTTTGCGGGATCGGCTGGCTAGGCTCGCTGACTTGTTTGATGCATGTCATCGTATCCCTATTACGTGCATCGATGCTCATTATGTCAATCATTGGATTGTCTGGTCCAGACTTGATTATCTACAGAGCGCCGTCTTATGATTATTCCATTGTTTTCTCTCTGTTGTCCAACAAGACAGACAGCGCATATATATCACTTATATATATCACTTGTTCCCGATTCGTCTTTTGCGCTGTCTCAAACACAACACGACTTAATCCCTGACCCGATTTCAGGAAACATCTTTTCAATCTAAAAGTTCACTTATAATAGTGTTTTGATTAGGCATTATATTGACGTCGATCCCCGAAGCGCCACTATTCTCTGCGCAGAGTTGCGTCCCTTAGATTCGAGGTCTCGGGCTATACTGGATTATGATTCTTGATGTGTTATCCGATGTGACAGATACCCGTGTTCGTAGTTTTAACCAAAGTGATAAACGTCTACGATCAGGGCCTACTTGCACAAAGCGCTCTTAGCGCTAAGATGATCGTTACTCCCATGCTTTAACATAGGCTTACAATAGTCGTAGCGCTAAGATCGCTTTGTGCAAATGGGCCCTGGGTCACGTCAGAGATTCAGCTCGACCTGCACTGCTCTGCGTGACATTGTCGTCATACAGTTGACACTTAAGCCCATAATGGTGTATTTAGGCTTATCCAATCATACACTCATCGCCTATAACCCAGAGATGTGTCTTTTCAAGGGAACAGTTTGCATGTCGCCGTAAAAGCGTTTGGGTGTAATGTCGTATTGAAGAGTATTTCAGTTAAATCATAGCGTGTCTGATGTGGGAGGAAACCCCGAAGTGATACAGCTCTTTAACATTTACCAACCAATAAGTCTTATCATATGGACGGATCGAATTAAAATAATAGGATTCTGACACGCTCAAGGGACGCAACTCTGCACAACTTCAATGACTTCTCGTACCTCCATTATACAACAAAGGCGTCCATGACTACAACACGGTCTGCCAATTGCAACATGTCTGCCAACACATTGATCTTTAAGGAATATATTGTACTTAAGTAAGTAGATTGTCTTGTAAGCTCCGATCCATTCCTTTCAGCGACTGGGTTGTTTTGCTTCAACGTGAGACTGGGATTCCTGGACCACAGGGGTTGCCCTATGACCCGGAAGCAGGAGGACATGTTGAAGAGCATCCGGCAGTTCCTGGCTCTCGTGGCCCAGAGCTTCTATACCTTCCCCACCTTCAAACTGTACCCCAACAAGCTGTACAGGACATTTGAAAAAGTGTATGGTGATGTACAAAAGTAAGTTTCCAAACATCAAGGTCAAGGTCACACATTATCCTCATCTTTACCGCATATGATATCTCCATTTCATAAATACCCAGAACTCATTCGATACCTGCCATTTCGTTGCCGGTTCAACAATTATATGCACACGATTCGTCATTCGTGACCAACTCGTGTTATTCCGGGACAAGCCGAAAGCGACTCGTGCCCCTCTCGTGTCCATTGATGCGACCGGGTTCCGTCTTAGCGCAAACGGGCAAACCGAAAACAATTACCAACTCGTTGCGTAATGGTTCACATATATTTCCCTATATATTATATATATTTCTAAAGCAATTTAAAGCACATCGCGACATACAGTTTGATTGAACACATTTAACTGTGTCTTGGGTATATTTTTAGATGCAAGTAAAATCAGAATTTATTCCTGAGGGATTCTTTGACGAAGAACTTGAAGTCATACGCGCATTGTGATTGGTTTGGTTGTATTATCGCACATAACATTCATCGATAGGGGGACGAGTCTTCTTGCAGGTTACGGAAAGGGGTGAGTGGTGACGAAAGCCGATTCGTAGCACCCGATTCATATTTGTCATATGTAACCACGTGCTGTCCGTGTGTGGTCATTGTGCCATGCCTTGCCTAGCATTTGCCTGTATGACGATGAAATAAGTAACGACCAGTAAGTGGTCCTCAATGGCTACCGGACATTTCTTCGCCTTCTTTTCAATCTCCATTGTATCGTCAACAGAATTTCACTCCCTCATTGGCTTGAAAAATCAACAACCGAAGAAACTGACTTTTTTGTGAACGAAATATACAAAATGATTTTTCAGCTGGAATGTTTTCATGTGTTTTAAGACAGATGGTTAAAGTCCTCATGCTACTTCGCTTGTGGGGGCACGGGTGGCCCAGTCGTCTAAGGCGCCGCGATTCGCTGTGCAGAGTTGCGTCCCTTGGGCACGCCAGAAACCTATGATTGTGGATTCGAATCCCGGTTCACCCCGATTATGTTTCTAGGTTTGTCAGCACCATACCCGTGCTCGTGGGTTTCACCGAAGTGGTAAACGTCCGAGACCTGCATCACTTCGGGCTTTCCTCCCACATTAAGCTGGCACGCCTTGATATAACTGGAATAGTGTTAAAAGCGGCGTTAAACCCAACTCACTCACTCACTACTTCGCTTGTATTTCAGACGACACAACAAATCTAGTCGAGTTTTGGTACCCTTGTACAAAGCGATCTTAGCGCTAAGGTGGTCATAACTCCCACACCGTATCATAAACTTACGACAGTCGTGTCACTGAGGTTTTTTGTACAACGGCCCCCTGTTCAACCATTTCAATTATGAAACACAAGAATAATTTGACTGAATGGCAATATGCAGCGTCCTGTCATTAAAATCAGGCTCAAAACGACGCCATTGTGAAGAACTATTGTTCCACACATTTACCAAACTATATTAGAGATTTAATATCACTGGATAACCAAGCGTACACAGGCAGGTTTGGCGGAAAGCGTTTGTTCGCGCGACAATAGTGGTAATATTATAGTGCTTTTGTAATGTCATGCAAATCAGAAATATTTTCTGTCGACTCAACTCAATTCTTTTTGTCGCATATGTTTTGGTTTATTACGCCACATCTTTAAAGAACGATGCTGCTAAATTGAACATAAACAGAAGCACATTCAGCGTGGTGATAACATCAATCTACTACACATCATAAACATCTTTATAAGTGAAAACTTTAAGTGCGTGATAGATTTTCATCTCTTTGTCATAAAATGGGCAACACAACTTTTATGTCCCCGTCTGTGTTTAATGTGGAGCGTCTACACTTCAAACAAATCAAGCTCGTATTAGACCACCCAGGTACTGGTACAAGATCCGCCTACGGCGGCTTGAATCGCTTGTCGGTCGTAATACATGTAATAGATGTTTTAGATCAGGGCCCCGTTCTTCAAAGCTATCCTAACGCTAAGGTGATTGTAAGTCCCATACTTTAGACCCGTGAAGATCCGGGGTAGAATAGGTCTTCAGCAAACCATGCTTGCCGTGAATGGCGACTATGCTTGTCGTAAGAGGCGACTAACTGGATCGGGTGGTCAGGCTCGCTGACTTGGTTGATGCATGTCATCGATCTCAATTACGCGGATCGATGTTCATGATATCAATCACAGGATTGTCTGGTCCAGACTCGATTATCTACAGACCGCCGTCATATAGCTGGAATATTGATGAGTGCGGCGTTAAACAACAAACCAACCAACCAACCAACTCCAATACTTTAACACTGGCTTACGATAGTCGTAGTGCTAAGACCCCTTTGTGGAACGATGCCCAGGTCATCCTATTCTCGCCAGATGCTGGGGACCTACATTTGCCATGCGTATCGTGGTTTCTATTCTGTCAAGTTTGTCGGGGTTTTAACGTAAGAGGTTTTTTGGTAAATTCTGCCTACAAAGAAATAAAGAAATGATATCTATGTAACCTGCTTATTTCAAAATAAACGGATTAGAAACACATTTTTCATGGTCTAACATTATCGCTGATGTCAACGACTAATATGCTTATTATGTATAGAGTGGGTTTTTTAATGAAATTTAACTTCACAGACATTTTTTTCGTTTTCCATAATGCAATCCATTTATCGTGTGTTGTGTAATCAGTTCATTGGTAATCTATAACCTTGTGTATGGGTGTGTTAAAACATCAAACAATGGTTTGTAAATGTGATTTATAGCATAGACAGAACTGTGTTTAAAAAGGGTGTTTAGCTGTAAATATCAAGTTACAAGTGTAATGCAATTGGAGTACATAAAGATGGCTTGGTGTCAGACCATATAGTGCCTCTATTCTATCATGTAGGTTCCTGGGCCAACTTGCACAAAGCTACCTTAGCGCTAAGATGATCATAACTCCCACACTTTAACATAGGCTTACGATAGTCGTAGCGCTGAGATCGCTTTGTGCAAGTGGGCCCTGTTCCTAGTAGGAAGTACTTGCCGTAAGACCTGACTAAAGACAGTTGGGTGACAATGCTCGGTGACTGAACTGAGTGTGTGTCGTACCCGATGGCGTGGTTCGTCACTGACGGTTGTAGTCACTGTTCTGCTTGGTTGCAAAATCGTAATTAATTTCTGCTGCGCTTGTACTGGCCGAACTCTACTGATATTTATGAGTTATGTAATGCTCCGACATGAACAGGGCCAACTTGCACAAAGCGATCTTAGCGCTAATACTTTTGTAAGCCGATGTTTAAGTGTGGGAGTTACGATCATCTTAGCACTAAGATCGCTTTGTGCAAGTGGGCCCTGGTCTCTTTGTGGGTATGCTTGCTTTGTTTGTTTGTTGTTTAACGTCGCACTCATCGATATTCCCACGACACTGGACCAGATAACCAGTGGTTGGCATCATGAGCATCGATCCACGCAATGGGGATGCGATGACATGCATCAACCAAGTCATCGAGCCTGACCACCCGATCCCTTTAGTCCCCCCTTACGACAAGCGTGGGTTACTGAAGATCAATTGTGACCTGGATCTTCACGAGTTAATTGGTCTCTAGGTCACATGTATCACGTACCGCTCCGCTTGTACCAACCCACATCCACTAGTGTCTGAGACATATGGGACCAAACATGGGTGAAAAATCACATTTTGACTTTTCGTTATTTTCTAAAACTACCGACTTATAACTGTTGGTGTAAAAAATGGCGTTTTCAGACGTGATGTCTGAAGAATTGGGTAGACATGTATGGTTTATTACCTAACGAACTAGAAGTAACGAGAGAAAAATAAGATATTTTTGTACAGTCCGTACAAATGGCGATCTTCACTGAAGTTAGTTGAAGTCATAGCACAATTGTTACACAGCACCCATTAGGTCCCTTTTCTCATGGTGGGTGACATATGTATTGTTTAATACTGTGGATATCACATAGTAAACTCGTACATAGTTACGATTTCGCGCTATGGTTTGCCTAAACTATATTCGATTATTATTATAGCGGCTGTCGTGATATTACTATTGCTGATGCGGCATAAAACAAGCAACAATACTAGTGCTATTGTTTCCATTGCAGAAGAGAGGGCGGTGGGGTAGCCTAGTGGTTAAAGCCTTCGCTAGACACGCCGAAGACCCGGGTTCGATTCCCCACATGGGTACAATTTGTGAAACCCATTTCTGGTGTCCCCCGCTTTGACATTACTGGAATATTGCTAAAAGCGGCGTAAAACCATACTCACTCACTCACTCCCCCCATTCCAGAACAGGCAAGGTGTATGTGGAGAGTATGTACAGGGAACTGTGTGAGAAGAAGGCCAGTGGGACCCTGGATCCCCACGAACCCAATCTGCTGTTGGCGCTGCTCAATGATGACCGTCTTCCAAAAGAGGCCTGCTTCCGCGTCATGTCCAGTTTTTTCACAGTGGCTACGGAGAATGTAAGTACTGTTTTTCCACAGTTCAGAATCCGGACTTATTCGAAAATTTCATTTCACTTTAAGACCCTGCTCATATCTGAAGCCCATAAATTTGCCACACAGACACATACACACACGCACGCGCGCACGAACGCACACACAAAATAGAAATTCTTTGGATGTCCTCTTTACGGCGCCTCCATTAAGTTATGTTTTGTGTATGTGACCTAAAACATATTCTGTCTCTAAGAAAACGTACAATTTATATATAACAACTTCTGGTCTATTGCACATAGCTTGATAACAGTGTAAGACTCTTCATCGAGCAGTCGCTATGTGCAATAAACCAGAAGTTGTTATCCGTAAAACTCTACGTTTTCTTACTTACTAGACCCGTGAAGATCCGGGGTAGAATAGGTCTTCAGCAACCCATGCTTGCCGTAAATGGCGACTATGCTTGTCGGAAGAGGCGACTAACGGGATAGGGTGGCCAGGCTTTGACTTGGTTGATGCATGTCATCGGCGGGTGGTCAGGCTCGCTGACTTGGTTGATGCATGTCATCGGGCCCAATTGGGTCGATCGATGCTCATGATATTAATCACTGGGTTGTCTGATCCAGATTCGATTATCTACAGACCGCCGTCATTTAGCTGGAATATTGATGAGTGCGGCGTTAAACAACAAACAAACAAACAACTTACTCACCAACTTCTAGAATGCAAAACAAACAGTTAATCTGTCTCTGACAAAAAGCCAAATTGTCACTAAGAATTTGTGTTTTCACATCTATTTTATTCGGCTTGGACTTGGTATTTCTTTTGACGTCTATGACTGTTTTGGTGCCTCGTGCAGCTAACCATCTTCCCGAGGCAAGAGAGTTAACTGACTATAAAAGTCCAGTTTCCACCCTTACCGAACTAGGCTGGTATTATGGAGATACATTTTGGCTGGACTAACGAGTCTATGCATAGTTTAATCGCGCACCGAAATCGAAATCCGGTTCGTATACTGTCGTGCAGATTTCGATCGGTTGCAGGATTTGCAAAGCATGTGCATCGCCAACTCGTTGTCAGCAGATATTTTCCAAATCTGTTCATGTTTTTAATTAAGGTGCTCACGTGATTTGATGCATTTCGCGATGTAAGACCCGTTTTATCACAATATAGATCCTGATTATCGATCAGATCGTCCTGACTGGGCGCCACCATTTTGTGTGAAGCAAACGCAAGTGATACGAGAACCTGATTGGTCCATAGGAGAGGCTTAGAAGGGACATAACTGGTAATAGCCACTGGTGGCGCTACGATCTAGCCCAGTAATTCCAGCTAAGTTCGGTAAGGGTGCCTCGGGAAGATGGCAGCTAACAGCATCTTTATAAAACACAATCTCATTCATATAACAACTTTACCTCCGATACGATAGCTCTCTGCATGAAGATCTAAGGACATCAGTTATTGCTGAGACTTCTAAATTCTCGGTACGAGTGAGCGAAGTATTTAGACCAGCATATATCTCAAGTTCTCTCTCGCTCTATAGATTATAATGGCCCATGTTGCAGGTTGCCAAGTCCCTGTCGTTGTCCCTGTGGCTGCTGGCGAAGAATAAGGACAAGCAGCAGATTCTGTACCAAGAGATTATCTCCGTTTGTGGCACCGGGAAGATCAATGCAACGTCTCTGTCTCACATGCCCTATCTCAAGGCCTGCGTTAAGGAAGGGCACAGGTGAGTGATAACGCTACGAAATAACAAGAGAGTAACTTAACCGCTTTGAACAGTCATCTACCGGCGTGTGAGATTATATTGGCCCAGGTTGACGCACGCAGGTTGTAGAGTGAGTGAGTGAGTGAGTGAGTTGGGTTTAACGCCGCTTTTAACAGTATTCCAGTTATATCACGGCGTGTCAGCTTAATGTGGGAGGAAAGCCCGAAATGATGCAGGTCTCAGACGTTAACCACTTCGGTGAAACCCACGAGCACGAGTATGGTGCTGACAAACCTAGAAACATAATCGGGGCGAACCGGAATTCGAACCCACAATCATAGGTTTCTGACGTGCCCAAGGGACGCAAGCGAATCGTGGCGCCTTAGACGACTGGGCCACCCGTGCCCCCCGCAGGTTGTAGAGGTGGAATCTGTTTCGGCAGAACATGTAGGTTGGTTATTCTCTTGCATTGGCATCTATATGTGCAATTTTGGTAAAACTCAAGAGCACGAGTCTGGTGCTGACATTCAAACATAATAATCAGGATCCGAAGCTACAATCATTGGATCCGGAGGAATTAAGAAACCTTACTCTGGACAGCGAATTGCAGCGCCCTACACGGTTGGGCCGCCCGTTTTAGTTGTGTTTGAGTGTTTCAGTTCCCGATGTATCAGCAGAAGGTTGGGAGGAAGGTACGGAATGTGAAGGAAGTGATCCACTTTCTTGAAACCCACATGCACGGTTATATCCTTGACAAACCAAGGACTAAAGCGTGGTGAATCAGGGATTCCAACCTACGATCAGAGGATCCTTGCGCCCATGTGATAAACCTGGTGTTGGGATCAACCACTCTGAAGATCCGGGTTAAATCGTCCTTCAGTAACCCATGCTTGTCGTAAGAGGCGCCGAACAGGATCAGGTGGTCAGGCTCGCTTACTTGGTTGATGCATGTCATCGTATCCCATATGCATAGATTAAAGCTTACTATGTCAATCACTGGATTGTCTGGTCCAGACTCGGCTGGAATATTGCTGAGTGCGGCGTTAAACAAACAAACATTCACTCTGTCTACTAAACCGGGTGTTTGACTCATTCACCGTGTGTGATAAACCTGGTGTTTGACTCATTCACTGTTTGTGATAAACCTGGTGTTTGACTCACTCACTGTGTGTGATAAACCTGTGTTTGACTCACTCACTGTGTGTGATAAACCTGGTGTTTGACTCACTGTGTGTGATAAACCTGTGTTTGACTCATTCACTGTGTGATATACCTGGTGTTTGACTCACTCACTGTGTGTGATAAACCTGTATTTGACTCATTCACTGTGTGATAAACCTGATTTTTGACTCGTTTACTCTGTGTGATAAACCTGATGTTTGACTCGTTTACTCTGTGTGATAAACCTGATGTTTGACTTGTTTACTCTGTGTGATAAACCTGGTGTTTGACTCATTCCCCGTATGTGATAAACCTGGTGTTTGACTCACTCACTGAATCTGATAAACCTGTATTTGACTCATTCAATGGGTGTGATGAACCTGGTATTTGACTCATTCAATGGGTGTGATGAACCTGGTGTTTGACTCATTCAACGTGTGTGATGAACCTGGTATTTGACTCATTCAATGGGTGTGATGAACCTGGTATTTGACTCATTCAATGGGTGTGATGAACCTGGTATTTGACTCATTCAATGGGTGTGATGAACCTGGTATTTGACTCATTCAATGGGTGTGATGAACCTGGTATTTGACTCATTCAATGGGTGTGATGAACCTGGTGTTTGACTCATTCAATGGGTGTGATGAACTTGGTATTTGACTCATTCAATGGGTGTGATGAACCTGGTATTTGACTCATTCAATGGGTGTGATGAACCTGGTATTTGACTCATTCAATGGGTGTGATGAACCTGGTGTTTGGCAAGAGGGGCTGAATGTTCTCATCTTATCTGTGCAGACTGGGATTCCCTTCTCCTGTGGGTTCTGTCAGGATCATCGACAAGGACCTTCAACTGGACGGCTATCACATTCCAAGAGGGGTGAGAATCTAATCTCATGTAACCATTTCATTATACCAGTGTGTGTGTGTGGGGGGGGGGGGGGAGGGGATCGGGTTCCGCAAAGCGATATTAGCTAAGATGATCGTTACACCCATAGTTTAACATAGGCCTACGATAATCATAGCGCTAAGATCGCTTTGTGGAATGGAACCCAGATCTTCACTACATTTCGACACTATCGTCGTGAATGCATCCCCCTTACAGGGTGGCGTCAGATGAACCTTCTAATGAGCCAATCAGCGTCCAGGTGCGATTCAGCGTAGCATTCAAACCGACATTATTTCTGTATTTCGAAAACGAAGTTCAACGGCCAGTTCCGAATGTACATAATACAGGCTGCCACTATATAGGAGCGGATATTTTAAACACCCTTTCGATTCTGAACGGCATGGCATCTGCACTCAAACCAGAGAATCATCGAAGGAATATGTGTGTTCTGTGTCGAGCGGTAAACAAGACATGTAGCCGAATTGTTTTTCTAAGGCTGAATGGATCATGAATCCAATAATTTAGATCAAGTAGTCAAAGTCCGCCGACGGGTCACCTGACACGACCATCGAAAGAGGGGTTGTCAGATCCTCACTGAGTGAGTGAGTATGGAATTTACGCCGCTTTAAGCACTTTAACATGCACTCTTCAAAGCTCATCAAGAACCCCAGGTGTTAATTCTTTGTGGGTGAGTATGGTTTTACACCGTTTTTAGCAATATTCCAACAATATCACAGCGGGGGACACCAGAAATGGGCTTCACACATTGTAGCCATGTGGGGAATTGAACCCGGGTCTCGGCGTGACGCCGAACGCATTAACCACTAGGCTATCCCACAGCCCATCACGAAGGACACATTCATCCGCACAAACACACGAGCTATTTATCCATATAGACACATGTTGGATGTACCACAACAATAAGGGAGGATACACTGAGGAACAAATTCTGTCACTCATTTATTCACAAACATGAAACTGCGTCCCAAATCTTGTGGCCTCGGAGAGTGGCAGATCCCAAGATGTGGTTTGATCCCCGGCTGTGTCATACCAAAAGACGTTAAAAGATGGTACTTGTTGATTCCCCGTCTGGTCGGCTCGGAGTCAGCATGCTGTGTCTGAGTGGGGTATCATTGTTAAGCTGCGAATGACGTCTCAGTGGGCTAGCACTATTAAACTGGCATTAGTTCGGACTAGTACAAGCAGTCACACACACACACACGCATGCTTGTATGCTATATAACCTCAATAAACTTGAACGCGACATAAAGCCCCATTTGACCTCACCTCACCTCACCTCACCTCACCTCACCTCACCTCACCTCACCTCACCTCACCTCACAAATATAAACCATCACAAACATGCGTGAAGATGCTTTGCCTTTAGAAAAAAAGTGTTTGCCTTTAGAAAATATTTATAGAAGAGTAAACATTCAGAAAATATGCCAAATATTGAACAAAAACAACATGAAATATAGGAAACAATGAACTAAAAAACAACGCAACAACGGCCTTTAATTTATCAGTGACAAAAATGATGTGCGATGCAACTCCCTATTTTGACATATACCATACTTTCCCGTGTTTTTGCAAGTGAACAATTAACTTGCCTTTGCATGTGTTTGAGGCGGGTCCCACCGGTGGGGCAGGATACGCTCACTTTTTTTGCGAACACCTGATTTCCTAACTATTTGATAGTGATTCTTAAACACATGTTCATGATATAGTCGGAATCGTACAATCGAGGTTTCTTATGAATGCGGAAAGAGGTTTTGTTTTGTTTGATACACCAGTTTCTACCTCCCTTTCAGACAGAGGTTCACTACGGCCATAACGTCCTGTGCCACAGCCCGGAGTATTTCGACACGCCCAAGGCCTATATCCCGGAGCGCTGGTTGAGGGACAATGGCAATAACACCAACAACTATCTTCAGTCATTCATAGTCATGCCCTTCGGTTTCGGCACCAGGAACTGCCCGGGTAGAAGATTCGCTGAACAGCAGTTGTTCTTGGCCTTAATCACGGTACGGTTTCGGCGTCTGAAAGAACACGCAGCGGTGTTGCATTGAAGGCGTTGTGAGATAGAAAGACCTGTGACCTTGTTACATTGAAGGGGAGATGTGATGGAAAGGCATGATGGTGTTACATTGAATGGGCGATGTGGTGGTCTTGGAGGAATGATGATGGTGTGTCTTAGAGTGGGGGAATGATTGTGGAATGTGGGGTGTCTTGAAGAAGTGATGATGGGATGTTGGTGTGTCTTAGAGTGATGGTTGAATGATTGTGGAATGTGGTGTTCTTGGAAAAGTGATGATGGGATGTTGGTGTGTCTTAGAGTGATGGGGGAATGATTGTGGAATGTGGTGTTCTTGGAGAAGTGATGATGGGATGTTGGTGTGTCTTAGAGTGATGGAGGAATGATTGTGGAATGTGGGGGTGTCTTGGAGAAGTGATGATGGGATGTTGGTGTGTCTTAGAGTGATGGTTGAATGATTGTGGAATGTGGGGGTGTCTTGGAGAAGTGATGATGGGATGTTGGTGTGTCTTAGAGTGATGGTTGAATGATTGTGGAATGTGGTGTTCTTGGAAAAGTGATGATGGGATGTTGGTGTGTCTTAGAGTGATGGTTGAATGATTGTGGAATGTGGTGTTCTTGGAAAAGTGATGATGGGATGTTGGTGTGTCTTAGAGTGATGGAGGAATGATTGTGGAATGTGGGGGTGTCTTGGAGAAGTGATGATGGGATGTTGGTGTGTCTTAGAGTGATGGTTGAATGATTGTGGAATATGGTGTTCTTGGAAAAGTGATGATGGGATGTTGGTGTGTCTTAGAGTGATGGTTGAATGATTGTGGAATGTGGTGTTCTTGGAAAAGTGATGATGGGATGTTGGTGTGTCTTAGAGTGATGGAGGAATGATTGTGGAATGTGGGGGTGTCTTGGAGAAGTGATGATGGGATGTTGGTGTGTCTTAGAGTGATGGTTGAATGATTGTGGAATGTGGTGTTCTTGGAAAAGTGATGATGGGATGTTGGTGTGTCTTAGAGTGATGGTTGAATGATTGTGGAATGTGGTGTTCTTGGAAAAGTGATGATGGGATGTTGGTGTGTCTTAGAGTGATGGAGGAATGATTGTGGAATGTGGGGGTGTCTTGGAAAAGTGATGATGGGATGTTGGTGTGTCTTAGAGTGATGGTTGAATGATTGTGGAATGTGGTGTTCTTGGAAAAGTGATGATGGGATGTTGGTGTGTCTTAGAGTGATGGTTGAATGACTGTGGAATGTGGGGTGTCTTGGAGAAGTGATGATGGGATGTTGGTGTGTCTTAGAGTGATGGTTGAATGATTGTGGAATGTGGTGTTCTTGGAAAAGTGATGATGGGATGTTGGTGTGTCTTAGAGTGATGGTTGAATGATTGTGGAATGTGGTGTTCTTGGAAAAGTGATGATGGGATGTTGGTGTGTCTTAGAGTGATGGAGGAATGATTGTGGAATGTGGGGGTGTCTTGGAGAAGTGATGATCGATGTTGGTGTGTCTTAGAGTGATGGTTGAATGATTGTGGAATGTGGTGTTCTTGGAAAAGTGATGATGGGATGTTGGTGTGTCTTAGAGTGATGGAGGAATGATTGTGGAATGTGGGGTGTCTTGTAGAAGTGATGATGGGATGTTGGTGTGTCTTAGAGTGATGGAGGAATGATTGTGGAATGTGGGGGTGTCTTGGAGAAGTGATGATGGGATGTTGGTGTGTCTTAGAGTGATGGGGGAATGATTGTGGAATGCGGGGTGTCTTGGAGAAGTGATGATGGGATGTTGGTGTGTCTTAGAGTGATGGTTGAATGATTGTGGAATGTGGGGGTGTCTTGGAGAAATGATGATGGGATGTTGGTGTGTCTTAGAGTGATGGAGGAATGATTGTGGAATGTGGGGGTGTCTTGGAGAAGTGATGATGGGATGTTGGTGTGTCTTAGAGTGATGGTTGAATGATTGTGGAATGTGGGGGTGTCTTGGAGAAGTGATGATGGGATGTTGGTGTGTCTTAGAGTGATGGTTGAATGATTGTGGAATGTGGGGGTGTCTTGGAGAAGTGATGATGGGATGTTGGTGTGTCTTAGAGTGATGGAGGAATGATTGTGGAATGTGGGGGTGTCTTGGAGAAGTGATGATGGGATGTTGGTGTGTCTTAGAGTGATGGGGTAATGATCTTTTGATATTCGGTGGTGGGGGTGGGTGAGGCGGGGAGGACTGGATTTTAACGAAAAAACATATTTTTATACAAAAAGTATTGTTGCAAGAATTTTGAAAAAATATATATATTTATAGTCTTACTTTTCATTAAAATAAATCTGGTGTTGCGGCTGTAGCTGGAAAAAAATATCCAGTATCGATACAATTTTTTTTGAAGGGGTGGGGGGAGGTGTGTGAGTAATTATTGTGTTTTCGTAGGCCTATGTAATACCTTAATCTAATCTGACGTGCGAAGAATATTAACTTATCAATAAATGTTTATCAGAAGACTTTAAAGATGTCACTTAAACGATGAGTGTTGAGTTTACCTCATGATAACGCGTCCAATTTAAAATGCCTGAAATAGAGTGTACACGAGCGGACCAGTCGCTGCAAGCCACTGTGCTGACATCTGTCATAGCTGAGATGTTGCGGTCGCGGGTTAGAATCCCAGGTTGGACCCGACAATGAGCATCAGTCTGACACCATCCTTGTCTGGAGGTGTCACCAACCCAGCCCCGGGCACGCCCCTTCTGACTTTCTCATTCAGCTGACCACAGGGTTGAATTAAATATGACTGAACTACGCTAAAAGCGTCGTATCTGCTGACGGTCCGAACGTCGTTAATATTGCATATTGAGATCATTACTTTCTTAATTGTTCAATCGCGATTTTTTTTTTCATCCTGTGGAGGAAATTTCATATTTCAATAAAGGATAACCAGTGTTGGTGATTTTCCAAAGTTGCTGGGTAACGCTGAGTTATCACAAATGATTGTTTGTATGTCACAGTTTAGCGGAAGAACTTAAGATAATTTGGAACAAAACAATGGTAAAGAAAGGGTCGGCGTATCGATGAGCCAACAAATATAAAAATTATTGCTTAAACTGAAATCTAGCTTTTGGCGGTAACTATGACTATGCTTGTCTGCTTTGTTTCCGGAGCAGAATTCAAAACCGTTCAGTATGTCCTCCCACCAATTTAGTCGTAGGTAGTTCCTTGTTTCTTTAGATATTTTATATTTTCGTATGCAAATAAAAAGGACTCTGGCTCGTTTTGCATTTGAGAATGAATGAGTTTTTACGCCGCCTTTAGCAACACACATATCCAGCAACATCGTGGAGGTAAACACAGGAATGGGCTTCACGCATTGTTCCCATGTACTCCGCCAATATTTCACCGTAATACTTTGAGGGAAGCAGGGGGAAATACTTTGTTTCTGATGACTCTTGATGTATTGGATAGCCCAATGGTTAAATCGTTCACTCGACAGACCGCATTGGCTGGGTTCGAATCTACACTAATTATGTTTTTCAAATATTTTCGAAAGCTCATTATTGTTTCCCACAATATCAAACGTTAATCAAATATCCTTATTTCGTTACAGCTCATCCAGTCGTTTGAAATCTCACTACAGGATCCAGAGGAACAGCTCAGCATCGTATACAACATCCTGGCAACGAAAGAAACTCCACTAGAGTTGAACTTCAAACAACGCAAAAAATAGAACCGAGAATGGCAGAGACTGTTTGCCATTTCAAATGGCAATCAAGAATTCTGCGCAGGCGCAGATACACTCCAAGGTGATTGGCTAGAGCAGATGCCACATGACTCGATGACCAACGTTACACTTGTGTTGCTTGAGATGGTTTCGTGGCTTAATGACAGAACTAGTGACTGCATCATCGTCCACACTCCACGAGATAAATTCATCACGTTCCTCCATAGCCCTTGGGTGCATACGGCCGACAGGCAGGGTAGTGATGACGTGTGTCTATTTTTAATCAGCTAATGAAATGAGGCCGTGGATAACTCACGGAAGTCATATTAACCCTACTCCATGCAGGGCTTTGTGCGAACCCTATCATGCCTGCCATCCAGGCAATGTGTGGAGCAGATACCACAAGGCTTTGGCACTTGTTGCACACGATGTGTAGATAGACACATTGCCGTTGTCCGATGTAAACTGGGCGTTCATTGGCCTGTGTACTTGCTGGTTTGCTTCCCCTTGAACCCAATCTCGTTAAAATCAGATCTTAGTTCTCGCCATCGCTAATCAAAGATCTGAGGACATCCCATTACGGGTCACGTCAGAACGTCCTTTCATCCAACCAATAAAAGCGACGCTTGCCAGATCATGAAAGTGACAGTCGGAATGCGTTTTCTAATCATGCAACCTCGAAAGCTTTAATACGGGGTATTCTGAACGACAGTTACGGCCCGTACAACTGGTTCCGTCAAAATTATCGTCCATCTCTCGCTTCCGTGGGATAAACATTTGAATGGAGGAGGCGTTGCATAGTATGTGGGAAGCACTGCCATACAATTGCAACCATATATTAGACATTCCGTAATGTTCGTTCGTTCAGTTTACAAACTTTTAATTGAGAATTTGGTCAACTTATATTCAAGCCGTAAAGCTCGAGAAAGCTGCTTTCTAATTGGCTGATGTCAACTTCTAGTTAGTCATTTCAGTGGTCTGTCAAAGTTCGCGAAAAGCCATTCTGGCGTGACCTGTAATGGGATGTCCTTAGATCTTTGTTTAGTGGCAACGAGAACTTATATCTGATTTTAATGAGATTGCCCTTGAACCATGTCTTTGCTAGATTCGTTGTATGTCTTCATGGGTGATAGTGAAGAGTGATAGTGAAGCCCGTGAAGTATCTAACATATAACTACGTGTGTACCATGTGAACACGGATGCAAAGGAAACCACGTCGCTAATTGATAAATTGTCGTTCAAATACCACACCGCGAATATGTATTGTGAAAGAGCCATATAGGAATATGTTTCTTTAACGAAGATTTATGTGAAATGTTTAATTGTTTTTTACTTTGGTGCTGGTTCGCCATGTTTTGTTAATACCACCACCCCACCCCACCCACCCCCCACCCCCCAACCCCAAAACCCCCACCCCCTCCCTCTGTTCTGCACCCCTCTTTCCCTGTACACATAATATCCAGCCAAAGACGTGTAGCCTCTATTGGTAAGACGTTCATTTGTGCAACCTATACTGTCTCGAATAGTAAGGCTCGTTTGCATTGCGATAATAGACTCTAATAAACCCTACGTTTTTATTGAATACAAGTTTGAATTACAGAAATACCTTTCAGACAGTTGCATTTTTATGTTAAGAATATTCCGTCTTCATTTATCCAGTGACTTATAAAGCCATTCTGTTATAATAAATATACTCTGAACCTATTGTCTATCAGAGAATGGGGGGTATGTCATGGGTAGTGAGTGAATGTTCTTTTACGGCGCAGTTTGTAATTGCCTGCCTCACTACGCCGTTGGGGATTCATGTTTAGAATTGGTCTCCAACAACCTATGCTTGTCGTAAGCGACGACTAAATGGGTGGGTTGGTCAGGCTCGGCGTGTGGGTTGATTGCACGTCATCGTTCCCTACGGCGTGCACATCATAATCGATCAGTTATTCTACCATGACAAAGAATTCTTGATTCTGATTGGTCAAAGTTTTAATTTCTTAACATTTCACGCAAAAACATTGCATATGAAAACATCGATCTATCCAACCAATTACAGTGCAAGAAGTTGAAAACGCATGCGCAGTGATGCATATGAAGAAGGGGAAAGCCACTGACTTGGTGGCATTCTTGCAGAAGTTCTGCAGAATACTGTATTGGCCTGCTGCAGAGTATAAGCTTTTGTTTCGAAAAAAAGGTGTCGCATCGAGAGATGGATTAATTCAACCTGTTACCAAATAATGTGGTGAAGTCGGAGATCCATTAGGGTACAGGTGCCTGGTGATCTCTAGTGGGTGTAAGATCTAAGGATTCAGATCTGGTTGGAAAAGAATAAACTGCTAGCCAAAGAACAGAATGGTTTCCGACCTAGTCAAAACTGTATATGTCATCTAAAAAATGATTCATCTTTATGTTTAATGTAACAAAACAGAACATTTATGTACCACAGACAGTTATAAAAAATACTTAGGTTTATGGCTTAAAGAAATTTTAGACATGAAGGGATCTGTAAAGGAATTATGTTAGTCAGCTGGCAGAGCCTTGTCCAAATTCATATATGTCATATAAAGTCTATAAAGTTATAGACATCACTGGTTGAACCCATTCTGTTATTTGGGACGTGAGTTTAAGGAGCTAATTGACCCTTGTGAGCAATCGAACCCGGAACTACATCAGTATTTCTCCGTAATACGTTGAGGGTAGCAGGAGGAAACACTGCCTTCTGATATTTTGGGTAACCTAGTGTTTTTGAAGCGTTCACTTGTCGTAAGAGGCGACTAACGGGATCGGGTGGTCGGGATCGCTGACTTTGTTGATGCATGTCATCGTCTCTCAATTGCGTGGATCAATGCGCGTGATGTTAATCACTAGATTGTCTGGTCCAGACTCGATTATCAACAGACCGCCGTCATATAGCTAAATTACTACATGCGGCGTTAAACAACAAACAAACAAACAAATAAAGCATTCACTCGTCAGACCGATGTACCATGGTTCGAATCTACACATCTGTACAAAATATGTTCTTCGAACATTTTTAGGAAATCATTATTGGTCCCCTACAATATCAAATGAGTTAATTCGCACAGAGAAATCCAGATTATTCAGAAAAAAGCTTGCAGACACTATTTGTGGGTTGAACGAATTTCCTCAAATCTTGCTACTCGAGGAGACATGGGCTGAACCTCCTGTTCAGTTCTTCGGAAATCAGAGTTATTTCGAATATCTTCCAGAATCCGCTGTGCTTCAGAAGTTCGATTACCCCATAAAATATTTAAATAACCGTTCAGAAACATATATTTATCAGGCAGTAAAATCATTGCAAATATTGTCAATAACTTCCGTTACTCTTCACTGCCTAAAATAGTTGTTCACGGTGACTATTTACAAAGTGCATGAACCCAGAGGACAGATCACATGTGTGATTATGTTTTCCATTAACGCGATGTTTACTGGTGAGAATGACTGCCAACGGAACCACCTTGAAGAATGACTGAACACCGCCGTTCTTAGCTGCAGACGAGTGAGTGAGTGAGTATTTATGCTGCTTTTAGCAATATTCCAGCAATCACGGCGAGGGACACCAGAAATGGGCTTCACACATTGTACCCATGTTGGGAATCGAACCAGGGCCTTCGGCGTGTCGAGCGAACGCTTTAACCACTAGGCTACCCGACCGCCCCCAGCAGAGTTCGAATGGCGGAGACACCGTGTAGTCCGAGTGCTCTAGAACAACCAGGGGACACTTCTGACTTCAGCTGTATTGTAGGCACCACCGCAAAGAGGGACAATAACATTGGACGATGAAGACTTCGACGGAGAGGCAGAAAACATAGGCTTTTCTGTTTGGTTGGTTTGTTGTTTTGTGCCGCACTCAGCAATATTCCAGCTACATTACGGTGCTCTGTATATAATCGTGTCTGGACCAGACAATCCAGTGATTGATATCATGAGCATCGATCAAGCCAATTGGGATACGATGACATGCTTCAACCAAGTCAGCGAGCCAGGACGCCCGATCCCGTCAGTCCTTGTGGCCATCCCACCGCCCCTGTTGCAGACGAATCGGCGAGAGATTGTGTGAGAGACTGCTCGCATTTGTGCCGGATGATTGTGTGGGCCTCACGTAGGCTGTCGAAAGAGGAGAAATAAAGTTTATTTTTGTGTCACAAACCATCCATTGCATACAACCCCACAGCTAAAACAGCATAATATATACTCTTCAAAAAAAAGAAACTTGACACTGACTTTCAAAATGTAATATAATGCGATTGTTTCAAAATAGGACACAGAAACCATAATTGAAACATTGTTTGAAGATCAATGTACACAATGTTCAAAACTTTAATCGTGTCACCTAGACAGACTCACGTACACGATACAGTTAATGTCACAGGGGTACAGAAAATGTCAGTATCGGTTGTGCCCACCACGTGCATCAATCACCGCTTGACACCGACGACCCATAGATGCAATCAAGTTGTCAATAACACGCTGTTGGATGTGCTGCCATTCATGCTGAAGTGCATCAAGAAGCGCCGGAAGTGTTTTGGGCGGTGGATTCCTTCTGCGAACGCGTCGATCCAACTCGTCCCACAGATGCTCAATCGGGGACAAATCTGGTGACCGGGCTGGCCAAGGTAATGTCTGGATGTTGTTGTGGTGTAAGAAGTCCTGACAAACACGTGCAATATGCGGTCGAGCGTTTTCCTGCTGGAACTGTCCGCCTTGAACGTTGACGTGAGGAAGAACGTAAGGCTGTAGGGTCAAGTCTCTGTAACGCACACCTGTCAATGCACCTGCCACATGCACGAGAGGCGTCCTACCACCGTGATGAATTCCGGCCCTTACCATGACACTCCCGCCGCCAAATGGGACAACCTGCTGCACACAGTTGGGGGGTAACGTTCACCCCGACGTCTGTAGACGTGTGGGTAGGATACGGGACTCGTCAGTAAACAGTACATTTCTCCACCGTGCACGTGCCCATCTAACCCTCTGTTGGCACCAAAGCAGACGGTCCGCCAGATGACGTGGGGTCAATACATGACGTCGAACAGGTCTTCGTGCAAAAAGTCCAGCCTCCCTCAGTCTGTTGCGTACCGTTTGATCTGATATTCTGCGTACCCCAGGGATCTGTGTGGTTGTAGACGTGGCTGTGGTAGTGCGGTCTCGGAGTTGTCGCAGCCTGATGTATCGATCTTGTGCTTGGGTTGTCACCCTTGGTCTCCCTGACCTTGGTCTGTCGTCAACTCTGTTGGTGTTGTTGTATCGGGTCCATAGTGCGGAGATTGTCTATCTGGATACGCCAAAGTGCCTGGCCACTTCTTGCTGAGTTGCTCCAGCTTGTAATCTCCCAATGGCGTAGTTCCGTTGAGCTGCATTCAGTCTTGGCATTCTGTCACCGCCTCTACTGCCGTTATAAGGACTGTATGAACAGCCGTTGATGTGGATATTTATACCCATTCAGCAGGGGGGCATGCATGCCTAAATGCAGGATCCTGTGCTGCACGTATTTTACAGGCGGTTGCGTTTGGATGAAGCTGTAAAATTGATCCCCAAACGCTACGTTTATGTGCTTTGCATGTGTTTTCGCGAATTATAGACACATCATCTTTCTGTTTGACTTATTTGGTTCTCATTTAATGTAATT